AAATTTTGAGAAAAAAATTTTGTCAAAAAAATTTTAGTCAAAAAAATTTTTGGCCAAAAAAATTGTTTTTATATTAGACCGATATTGACCAATATAGGACCGATATTGGACCGATAATGACCAATATTATACAGATATTGACCAATATTCAGAAAAAAAAATTTGAGAAAAAAATTTTTAGAAAAAAAATTTTGGTTAAAAAAATGTTGGTCAAAAAAATTTTAGCCAAAAAAATTTTGGTCAAAAAAATTTTGGCCCAAAAAATTTTCGTAAAAATAATTTTTGGTCAAAAATATTTTGGTCAAAAAAATTTTTGGAAAAAAATTTAGGAGAAAAAGTTTTGGCCCAAAAAATTTTCGAAAAAAAATTAGCACACGACGTGGGGAAAAAAATTTTTGACAAAAAAAATTCGAAAATATATATATATATATATATATATATATATATATTTATAGGTATATTTATTTATATTTCTAGAGCAAAGATTACTTATAATTACAATTAGATTAAGATAAATAATTTAAACACATCTCATAATTCGATCTCAATAATAAATAAATCAAAAAATTTGAGAAACTATCGGATCTCTTTCATTATTCGCAAAAATTTGAGAAGCTATCAGATCTCTTTCATTATTCGCAAAAGCAACAAAATTTCTAGAAACTAAAGAGGGAAAAATAATTATATTCATATGAAAAGTAAAAAATATATATATTTGAAAATCATTTGCAAAATTAATGCATACAATAATCTTCTCAAGCAACTCAGTTTATATTTTTTTCGAATAATGCTAATTAACAATTAAGTTACTGTTTTGTTTCTGTTAATATTTTCTGCAACTAGTGTTGATGTTCATTTGAATGTTGAACAAAATGTCATTATCATCATTAACATAAAAAAAGGAAATTATTAATAGTAATGTACAAGTACTTAATAGTTTGTTTATGGCATCTTCAATAACACATTTAAGAATAACATCTCTATCAGAAATAAGGGGTGCACGTTAATAGTGTTTTATTCCTCTAAATAAAAAAGAGATTAGCAAATACATACTTTCTTCCATTTGACAGTTCCTGTCAATCTGTACAATGTGATTATCTTTACGATCATTAAACAACGCAGATAATAATATTTCTGTGTAATATCAAAAATAACTATCACTACTCCCAAACTTTTCGTGGAACATAGCCAAACCTAAATTACCCCGGTATCTTCTCTTAGCCGACTTAATATATCATTATGAATACTATTATTCAATGCCAGTGGGAGATCAGCAAATATTTCAGCATGTTTCAGACTGGCTTGTGATTTCTTTATTAATGTTTTTCCCTGTTTATTCGTCTCATATCAATACTTGTGTTTAGTAAACCCGTTTCATAACTACTTCCAAGAGAAAAACTGCTGAAAAAAATCAATGTTGAATTATTTATTATAAACCTTTATTATTAGTACAAGAATAATTCTTAAAAACTTACCTATCAGTGAGTTGGTCAGTCTGACGGCAATTTTATCTTTCAATAACTATAACCTTAAAATTCCTAGCATTTGTCTTCCTATGTGACGGCCTGTTCTTTAGGGATATTTTAGGATTTTTTTCTACGACCAGTAAATATTTAGAGCTTCAAGTTTTTCATCATTTATTAACACATATTTGGACAGTATAAATATAAAATTTCAGCTAAAAATATTCAGTCAAACTAGAGTTACAGCGCTCTGAACACCCCCGCCTCGAAAAAAAGAGCTCCCACTTCGGCTTATCTGAAAAAAAAAACGGCGTTTTAATTTGTAGGCTTAAAAGCACGGAATGACCTATAATCAAATAAATATAAAAATTGGATTTTTGATAGACATTTGAAATAAAAGTTGCAAATTTTTTTTTTTCTTGTTTTTTGCTATAAAAAAATCGAAGTTTTGAAAATCTTCACAATTGATAATAGTTTATTACATGCGTTTAAATATATTGAGTGTGCCCTGTAAATTTCAAGTAATTCGGTCCAGCCATTTCTGAGATACAATGGAGGAGAGGTTGAAAAACACAGTTTTGAGAAAAACGCGTTTAAAGATAAAATGATCGTTGTACTATATACTATATGCATACTTTTTAAATGGCTGTAACTCAAAAACTATTTGAGATATCGATTTGAAATTTTAATGTTATTTTTAAAGGTGTAATCTACTGAAATATGAAAAAAAACGATTTTTTCAACCCATCACATAGGAAGACCCCCTTAAATGTCTCACTTATTATGCTATAATAAAAACTTATATCAGACTAGTAGTAATAGATGCAAGTATTTTGAAGTATGCATATTGATAAAAATACTTACTTATTGTTGAAGGCCCGTAAATATTATTAATCATTTTACATACTACATAGGTTCTAGTAGAAAACACTACTTTTGACCAGCTAAATAGCAAACATCTACAACATCCGAAACAATATTTATTTGTGATTAATGTTTGGTTATTTTATTCTTATTACGTACTTTGTCATTTCTCGCTGGAAATACATGCAATTTTGCATTTTTTTGGTATTAGTGCACCCTGGAACGTAACACTTCGACTATTTGCTTGCAAACTAATACTAATCACTTATAAACGCAACTGAACGTTCTCGAAATCGTTTGGTTGCCCGCGTTGAAATTCTTACCAGATGAGTGCCAAATCGCTGCAAGAGCGCTCCAAGGGAGAGCAGCTCTAACTAAAATCGAGCTACAGAGTTTTGTTCGGTGATTACCGGCCATGGACTGCTACTCCCCATACAATTCTCAGGTACAAAAATGTCAAAAGATGTTCTGTGGTATGAGGGCATATGAGGGTAATTTTGCGGCCGAGATATGTGGAATACGAACACGAGCTTTACCGAGAGCCGTCAATTGCACTCGATCGTTTTGAACCATAGATAAGTAAACATAAATAGATCGCTATCTCAGGACATTTGACATTAACTCCATTTTAATATTTTTAGCGATCTGAAGGAGGCAGCACTTGTTCAGTATATAAATCAACCGCTAGTATTATTCCTAGATATGGCTCGCATACGTAATTCAAAATAAAAAAAAACCTAAATAATTTCTTATATTGAAAATGAGAAAAAACATACGAAGTACAAAATATATTTTCAAATATATCACAAACATTTTTACATAACAATTAAAATTTTTATAAATATAATAATCAATATATACATAATACTAAGTATTATAATTTTACAATTATAAGTAACTAAAAAAAGTATTCACAATGGTATGATAAATTTACAAGAAACGATCAATATGAATTACTTAATGATCAATAATATATAACAACTACACAGAGATTGTGTAGAAGCATTTACAATAAAATGATAAACTTAAAAGGAACGATTAATATGAATTACGGAATGATCAATAATATATAACAACTACACAGAGATTGTGTAGAAGCATTTACAATAAAATGTTAAACTTAAAAGGAATGATCAATATGAATTACTGAATGATCAATGATCCATAATATATAACAACTACACAGAAATATTGTAAAAGTTTTCATAAGTATAATGAATTTACACGAACTGACTAATATTAATTTCTTAATGACTAATAATAATATATTAAAAAGAGAAGAGAAAATTATAGAGTCTAAGTATGTAGTATATAAGGTATATACTTTAGATAATGGAATAGTCTAATTAGAAGAAATGACAAATAATGAACAAATTTAAAAAGTTAAATCCTACAGACATAAAATATATATATTGATATCAAAATTGATAGAAAACTAAATTCCAAAAATTAAAATTCATTTATGAGTCATTCTTCTTTAACATTAACTTATTATTTATTTATTTATTTATTTTAGTTATACAAAGTGTATAAGAAAAATCAGAATTTTTTTAAAAAAAAAATATATTCACTGAAAATAAGAACAGTTGGCTAGAGCTATTATGGAAAATAAGAAAAAAAACAATGAAATATTTATTTGAATGTAATATATTTATCATTGGTATTTAAAAAGCAAAAAGCAAGTGAAAGTGGCGTACATGTTTATCAACTTTGCTTTTTTATGTTCTTCATGGTGCATTCTAATTGTTAAGTACATTTTACCACAAACCAAACACATTTTAGAAGATATTTTACTTCTTATTGGATTTTGTCTGCTTTTAACAAGTTTGCAACATGTATTTTTATCCTCTTTTAGTTTAAAAACACGAGCGATCAAACCATATTATTATATTGTCTAGGGATCAAACATCACGTGAACCCAAGTAACTGTAAATTTAAGCGATCGAGAGCATTCGACAAATCTCGGTAAAGCTCGTGTTCGTATTTGACATATCTCGGCTTATGCTTATTTATCTAGGTCTCGGCCTTGAAATTACCCTCATATGCCCTCATACCATAGAACATCTTTTGACACTAGCAGTCCATGTATATAAAGTCTATGGCTGTTTACTTATCTATGACTAACGATATTGGGTTCGTTCCATCCGAGCCAATCTGACAGTCCGGAACTGTCCGCGCATGCGCAGAACACTTTTTTCTGTTCCATCCAAAATTTCGGATTTCAAACTGTTGCGGACTGTCAGTAATGCGTTCCATCAAGCAGTCCGATGAGTTTGAAACTATCATTTTGTGTTTGTACTCGGCACAAACAAAAATTCCGCAATTTAATACGATTAAAGTATAATGTTATTTAATCTCAAATAGAACATTAAAAATTTAATGAATTTACAGGAGTTCAAACATTGTAGAATATTAGATTAAAGCGACATAACAATATATAACTAGGAAATATTAAAAAGCAAATTCATTGACATAATTAAGTTATATTTTATTAGAATATGTTTTATATATATATATATATATATATATATATATATTACTTATATTTATGTATTAAAATAATAATTATTAATGCAATCGAGTGATCCGAGTTCGATCGCGTTCCATGTATCAAAACCAAACCATTGCCAACTGCCATGAAAAAATCAGAATGAGTTTGGTCTAGTTTGAAACAGTTTCGGACTGTCAGATTTGCTCGGATGGAACGAACCCATTGTGTCATATTGTTGTGTACTGTGTGACACCCCCTGAATTTTACTGTTTAACTGTCATTTTGGAATTGTGTACAGTATCAACGTCAACAACGTATTAAAATTAATTTGTGAAATATTTGGTTTAATATCGCAGTCAAAACAATGTAATAATATTTAAAAACAACAAATCACCATACCTTTATACTTTCAACCTACCACGAACACAATTAAAGTTTATGTCGCTAACAAAAATCTTTGTTTACTATAGTTACGAGAAGTAAATTAAAAATCAATGCACGCATTCGTTCTTGTTAAATCTATATAATTATCAAATAATAATGAAGCCTGATGATAGAAGTATGTCGTATAATTCTCATAAAGACTCGATGGAATATTGTGGCAGAACACTAAGGAGTACTTCGAGACGAAAACTACAAGATCGATTCGAAACGAGCGATTCAAACATATCTGAAACAAGAAGTATGCAAAAAAATCGTAGAATGTTGTCAAACATCAGTTTAACTGACCCGAGGCAGGCCTTGAGAAATGGAGCTGACAAAATTAGTAAAACATTGACAAATGTGAAAATTTCTATCGGTACATTTTCACAGGTAAATAGGATATAATTTGATAATGAAGATTTTATGAAAAAAACATTCATGCAAGGAAAATTTATTTAGTGAAACATATTTCACAATTAGTTTGAACTATAATCATAATGTTTGTTCCATTCTTTGATATTAAAATTTAACTATATTAGTTTTTATATTATAGATCAACATTTAATTATATTATGTTTCAGCGTTTTAAAACAAATACAAGACGCAGGCAAATTTTGCAAGAATCTCCTTCCCATTATGTTCGAACACCAACACCAAGATCAAGATCTAAATCTCGTGAACTTTTAGGAAGAACTCCTACAAAACTCTACAGCCCATTTGGAATAGAATCACCACAGCATAGAAACATGGATACCAAGTTTGTCCAACAAGTGGGAGCAAATGATGATAAAAAAAACAATCCAAAACATAAAAAGAAAAAGAATGATATTTGGAATAAAGAAAATTGTCTCGAGGAAAGAGAGACCGAGATCAATAATTGGAATTTTCTTAATAGAAACTCACAATCTTTATTAAAATAAAGTATAGCAGTTCTATAACTTAAAAATTATAGTTTTTATTTTAAGATACAATGCTATTATTTTAAAGCATTTACTATTTTTTATTTTATACTTATGTAAAAGAATTCAATAATTATTAGCTTATTATTAATTCAATTTTAATGGTCCAGTGGGGCTTTTGAAGATTGTGAATTTTATTTATATTAGTTTTATTTAGACTAAGTTATGAGAAACAGATTGGATACTGGTTTAGCTGATTTGTTATTAAGTAAAAATTATTATTTTTTTCATTGCTTAACTAAATCCTTTGACTGAATATATACATAATTTATATTTAGGATTTAATTAATACTAATTATTATTACACTAGTTTTAAATCGTGTCTTTTATACATACATTTACAAAAAAAAACTTAATAAATGATGAAATGTATGGGGTCTTTTTACTGATGAAATCACAAAATGAATATTACTGATTATTTTGTGGAAAAATCAACTAAAAGAATATATTTATTATGACTAAATTATCAAACAAATTTGAGGTGCAAACGTCCCTAGTTTATGTATTAAAATGTGGAAACTCATAATTTTTTCAATGTTCATAAATTATTTCAAACCTCGCGAGCTAAACCAACTACAAGTAAAATAAAATGTTTATTATAATAATAATCATAAAAGTTTTAGGCACTTGCGCCCAAATATTTTTGTTTCTGCACTATATATAGCAAATATTGCCAACGGTAAATCACAAGTAAACAATAATCATGATAAGGTAAAAATCTACATATATATATATATATATATATATATATATATATATTTGTTGAAAGTGTTTAAATTTGATGTTGAAATGTATGATTAATTTCTTGGAAGGCGTAACATCAAGTAAAAAATATAATTATATTTATTTATAATTTATATATAATATAATTTATATATATATATATATATATATATATAATTTTATAAAATTAAATAGAGTTATAATAAGAATTTCAATATATGGAGGAATTTTAGTGTCATTTATTTGTATTATTCAACGAGACAAAAATTTTAATTGCTTATTCTTCAGTTATACATATGAGAATAGGTGGAATTTTTACTACAAATATAATAGGGATTGTTGGTAGATTTGTTTCAATATATTCTCATGGTTTATTTTCTTCAAAAATATTTTGTTTTTCTAATATTAATTAGAAATGATCAGGAAGTCAATGAATTTTATTCAATAAGAGTTTGAAAAGATTTATGCCTTCGGTAACATTATTTTGATTTTTATTTTGTAGGTCTGATATAGTAGCAGAAAATTGAGATTATCTCATAATATGTTACTTTTATAGCGTACATGATAAAATTGTTCGAGAATTGAGCAAAACTCTCATAAAATATAAAATGTTAAAGCTATTAAAAACGAATATTATCTAATTTAAAATTATTAAAATATATAATTCACATGCGTACAACTGTTCTATAAACATGATAAAACTAGTGCAAAAGATACCTCGATTTGACATTTTTTATTCAAAACTATCAAAAAAAAAAGCTTAAACTCACCTGAAGAGTTAGTCCTATTTCTTAAATAAAGATTCTTCAAATGAAATGAGCACAAAATTTAAAGAAAAACCTCTCAAGTGTGTAGCAACATGTAAAGAAAATTATAAAGAGCTGTTTACTAAAAGCAAGCAGTCGAAAATATAAGATACTTTGCAAAAAATAAACCATGGAAATAAAAGTAGTATAGAAAAATGCTCAAAAGATAAAGATAACTTGCCAAAAGGAAACTCTCGCACTGAAATGCACATAGTTATGACAAAGAAGATATTATTTAATTCATTCAATATGCGCTACTTCTTAACAAAATTAATAAACATATTTATTTTCAAAATATAATAGAATGGCTTTTTGAATATTTGAGAAAAATGATACTTTTTGTACTACTCTACTGTCTCGTATAACACGGTGTAGTTTATAGGAATTAAGCTCTCGTGTTTTACCAGATTACCTGTACACATAGGTTTCTAGAGAAATATTAATAATTTCAAAATACAATAGAATGATTGTATGAATTTTTGGTAAAAAGGAGATGCTTTTTGCACTAGTCTTTTGTGTTATATAACACGGTGTAGTTTATGAGAACAAAACTCTCATGTTCTACGAAGGTTACTTGTACACATAAGTTCATACAAAAATATTAATATAATATATTCTTTATTTATATATAACTAAAGATTATTTATTTTTTTCAAGTAACCCAAAACACACAAGAGTAATTGTACAACTGTATTATGAAAAAAAAAACAACAAGTGGGGTGCATGGCATCGTGCCTTAAGGCAAATTGCTGGAATTTTCCGTACCGTAATTAAAAATCTTGGTACGGATCCCAAAAAAATTTACACAAAATGTGCACACATTGATAAAATCTCTATAAAATATCTGATAATTTGATGTACATATGTCCAATAAACATTTTTAACGGCCAAATGGCATTTTTTTTACTTATTTTTATTGAGAGTCCATAACCGCTGGACTTGCCTACCCAAACATTTAATCAGTTCTTCATCTTGTCAATACAAGTAAAATGTTTTTTGAATTATTAAAATCGGACGCTCCGTTCTCATAAAAACCGTGTTACCGTTTTTGGCACTTTTTGCCCGTATCTTCGGAACGGCTAGACCTGCCTTCGCCAAAAACTTATCAGCACGTCTCCTTATCAATACAAATCGAATGTTTTTTGAATTATTCCAATCGGTTGATCGGTGTTCCTGAAATCACCGATGAAAAATTGTATCCGCACACACACATACACACATACATACATCCATTTTGTCTAAGGTACGCCAAAATATTCAGAAACCTTTGAAACGTAAAGATATTTAAAAAATTTCATTTTCGATCTTTTGCGATTACTATAACTTACCTTACGAGAAGTTGAATAAAACAGAAAAATACCTGGATAATATTAATCGTCAATCACATTAATGAATCTTGATATACACCGTTTAAAAACACTTTAGTTTAATACACAATATTGCACTTATTTTATCACTTTACGAATCTAATCATGTATGACTTATTATGATAAATTGTCGTCGAAATTATTATCAATTTATTTTCCATAAAGTTTCACGTGTTTTGTTGATAGAGTGCGTAACCATACTTTTGAAAAACTTGTTAACTTCTTTGATGTCAGGATGTCACTCCTGTCACTCCTGTCAGTGTGACAACATTCAAACATATGACAGTTCAGTTTCTTCTGAAAAAATGTGCAAATTATAATTTCAGTGTAAATATTTTTTTTAATTCAATTTGTTATTTTTGAACAATAAGTGACCATAAACAACTGGAATAATGTCTAGTGATTCTGATCAAAATGACGATGCTGATCCATGGGTTTATTATTGTGATAGACCGGAATGGAATGATATCAAACCCGTACCACAAAACGATGTTTCCATAGGAATAGTAGCTATTGCATATACGAAAAAATGTAATTAACACTCTATTATTTGTACTTGCTATTAAAAAGAATTAATTTGATAAAACTAAAAATGAGACAATAATTTATAGGTTAATATTATTACATATACCTGCTTGTGAGGTGTATTATACTTCTTCTCGTCATTATTCACTTTGTTATTTAATCTAATTAACTTCAAAATTATGGCAATGCATACTCATTACTCGATTTAATTCCACTTTTTTTTTTAGTTACTGATGTATTTGACTACTTTCGAGCTGTCCTTCAAGCTTCTGAATATTCGCAAAGGGCATTTGATCTTACAACAGATGCAATCAAATTGAATCCTGCCAATTATACAGTGTGGCAATTTAGGTAAATAAATAAACATGAGAAAATATATATGCCTATAGATAAATAAGAACTGTGTTATTATCTATTCCTTTACAAATGTGTACAAACTAAATATGAACAACTGGCAGGTTTTGATCCTTACAGAAATGAGTGATCCGTGGTTTTCACTAATATGCAGGTGTCCTGCCAGATTGGTAATATTTATCTTGTACAAAAATATTAAATATTTTTGAAATTTTTAAACAGAAATGTTTAGTTTTTTTTAACAATATTTTTTGTAGGCGCGATATCATGAAGCATTTAAAAATGGACATTGTACAGGAAATGTTCTTTATTGAAAATATCATGATGGATTTACCAAAAAACTATCAAGTGTGGCATCATCGCCATGTCCTAGTTAAATGGTCACAGAACCCAAATCATGAGCTAAGGCTAACCGAATATATTTTAGAGCTAGATTCAAAAAATTATCATGCTTGGCAGCATAGATGTTGGGTGATTACTGAGTTCAAGTAAGTTGATTTATGTATGTGTAATACAGAAAAAAAAAATTACAGAATATTAGAATTACAGAATAAAATCATATCATATGTTTACAGGCTTTATGAAAATGAACTGGATTTTGTTGATAAATTGTTGAAAGCAGATCAACGGAATAACTCAGCATGGAATCAACGTTTTCATATTATCAAAACGTTCTATGGTTTGGATGGGGATACTATTCAACAAGAAATAAGTTATGTCTTGGAAAAAATGCAGATAATTAAAAACAATGAAAGTGCTTGGAACTACCTGCGTGGCGTAATTTGTCACAATAGTGGAAAACTTTCTGATTATCCTGAAGTGCAAGAAATTTGTGAACGTCACTTTAATTCGGGCTACCAAGAAGCATGTTTGGTCTCCTATCTATTTGACCTATATAGGGAAAAATATTTATTAGATAAAACAGATGAAACATATTATGAGAAAGCAGTAGAATGTTTAAATATATTGGCAACAAAATGTGACAAAATTAGAAAGAAGTACTGGACATATCTAAAGGAAGAAATGCGAAAGGAATACTGTACATAAATATTTTATATATTTTATTAATATTGTCTTTTTATTTACAATGAGTGATAATAATAACAAAAAATATAAAAATATACCCATATTTATTTCTATACTATTTAAATTAATTTACTGATTTATTACTATTCGACACAGCATTATACTAACTCTAAACTAAAATTAATATCAAAATAATTATCAATTTATAATGAATCTTCAGATTACACTTCACCAGACCATAATTAAATATACAATTATTACATACAAGATGTGGGATTTAAAAAATATATATATATACAATAAAATAATAATTTTTGGTCAACATTTAAAAATTATTCATAGTCAAAAGTTGCTAAGTAGACATATTTCATAGTTTTGTAAAACAAAAGTTTCTTACGCTTGTTGTCACCTCAATTTTTCATGCTAACTAGCATTCTTGAATAAGAAGATTTTATATATACAAACTTGAATGTTTTGCCAGGGTTTTTTTAAGGGGGTTTACTTTTTGGTTGAACATCCTTCAATTGCATACTTTCTACACATTCATATACCAATTTGAACAAGTATTGCTGAAATCAAATTAGTTTACTTTACCAAATCATAGCAAGTTTACTAAATTAATTTTTTAATTTACTTTGTTTTTTTCTGAAAATAGTTAGTAGATTGTTTAGGCCTTTCTTTAAGCAGTAAACTGAGAACTATGCATAAGTTGTTCTTTATGTAGATGCATTAAGAATTAAAATTAATATTCTAAAGTGAATTACCTATGATCTGTTGATAATCAGTTTAATTTTAATTCCTGCATATTTACTGTTGGGCCTGTTTCTTGTTGTTCAGTCATAGTAATTTGTGATAGCGTTCGAACAACTTCAGCACGATGGGCTGGATTCAAAGCCTGACACAAACCTACCACAGCATCCAAGGCCATCTCCGGACAGTCCTAAAATATAAATCATACTTGTTAAATTAATAAAATTTCAATTACATAAGTCTAAATATCAATTATTCTAAGGGATGAATAATTTTTTTTAATCAATTAAGAGAATGTCTTAAAATAAAAACCTCCTTTCACTAATCAACACAAACATATAAGAATTTCTTTGCTAGTTGATTTTGCAATTGAGCTACAATGTATAAAATTTTATGTTTCCTTTCATACTACATAAACAGTTTATTTTTAATATTAGTAAAGGCAATTATTTGATATGACCGAATGATGGTAAAGCAAAGCCATCCTTAGTAAAAATCATCTTTTTTGATCCAAAATTGAAACTTTTTATCAAGTAAATATTGATATGCTAAATTATGTACTCACGAGTAGAGATTTTTTGATTTGGCTTATTATGGCATCCTTTTTCACACATGTTAAATTTCTTTTTACAATTGAATTAGAGCTTTGTTGTGATTCCAGCCATTTTACAACAGCTTTATTGTTTTCCCACTGATAAGCCTAGAACACATGACATTTATTTAAATTATCTCCATAATTTTATGAAAAATAATTTTTCTATAATGAAAGCTATATTTATTAAAATATTAATAAACAATACAACAGTTAATTAAGCAACATTGATTTATTTATTTTTATGCAAGCCGTGATCAATTAAAATATATACTACTTTAAAGTTTTGTCAACTTAAGTAAATTACTTCTAAATTCTTATAACACATAATAACTAGTTTAATTATTAGCTGCATAAATTCTGTTTCAGTTTAATATATTTATTCGATATTCGTAAATTCATATTTGAATAAATAATGTAAAGTGGTAGAAATAATAATGTATATGAATATTAAAACGGGTGTTGAGTCGGGTAATAGCACCAAGTAAAAAATAAATTGAAGCAATTAGAATATCATCAGCTTCAAGCTTTCAGTCTTCATTGAGACCGACATTATATTTATATATATTCAAGGATGGCTAGAATATTGGCTTTTACCTCTGTTGCACCTTTGTCTTCTATATACCATCTTCTCAGCATTGCTTGAGCTTGTCCGGTGCCTAACTCTGGTTGAAGAATCTGTAATTCGTTTAGCATGCTTTGTTCTAATAAAAGCCTTCTCAAACGCCAATATAATGCACAACGAGATCCACGCCACGCTATTATGTCCTAAAGATTAATAATGAGAATGTAAAAAATACTACAATACAACAACATTAATAATAATAACCAATTATCTGCTTATGTTCAATTATATTTAACAATATATATATATATATATATATATATATATATATATATATATATATATATGTGTGTATATATAAATTTAAAATTATTGAAAAATATTAATAGCATATATATTTACCAGAATAGCTCCCTTCTCTAACATCCGTTCTGGAGTATCATGTAGATCTGCAAAATGTACGGCAACAGGGTGATAAGCAGCTGATAATCGTTTTTGTCTATCTCGTATATCTTTTTCCAGTTTGGCTAGTTCCTCCGCATCGGAAACAGTCTTCATTTTGCTTCGCAACTATATACAAAATAAAAGAAGTTTTATAAGCATCACTGATAAACATATGCAATAGTTTATGAAGAAACCATAAATTAATTATATATAAAAGCCACAATAGTGTTAACAAATTCCTTATTCAGTTATAAAATTAAACAGTTAAATGCACTCTAATATATAAGTCTACAAATAATATGTACACAATCAAATTACGTACATCTGTAACAATAGGATCTAACCGATCTATTGTTTTGATAATATCCTTCTGTCTGAACTTAATTTCAACAATTCCTTCAGGCTCTAAAACACCGCCTCGGGCATCAGGATCGGCATACATTTCCATTTTTTGAGGATTGATTGAAGGATCTAATACAGCCCAAGCACCACCACGTAACTCACCTTGAGTACAAAAAAAAAAAATTATATAACAATTAGTAAAAACATATTTTTAAAAATCAAAATTAAATTACACACACACACACACACACACACACACACACATATATATATATATATATATATATATATATATATATATATACACACCAAATAATTCACATAAATATTAGATCCTCATATATTTTCAATACCACTAACCATTTGGCGGCAAATAAATTAAAACAGGTTGTTTATATTCCCTTAATCCATCAACAATATAAGCACCAAACTTGACTATTTGCTCGTACATATCTTTCATTCCTCCAGAGAATCCACGCCAGTTAGCAAAGATGATGAGAGGAAGTTCTTCACGTGAGAAGTCGCGAATGGCTTGTGATGTTTTATAAGCACTATCAGGAAACCATACCTGAACATATTTAAATGCAATATTACATGAGCTTATTAGACATTTCGGCAAATGATATTTCATTATTTACCTGTCCAGCTTGGGCAACTGTTTTAGATTCGGAATCTGGGTTAGCTGGGTCAGCAGGCAATGTTACTTCAACAGAACGAGTTTCCACAGCAATAACACCAACAGGTATTCCTCCCAGGCGTGCTCTTCCTGTAAATGAACATTAACCATTACATTTCTCCATTTTTTGTTAGAACATATTTATTTCAATAATTTTGTTAAACTTTAACATTATATAAAGAAAAACATAACTAGTGGGGTGCACGGCATCGTGCCTTATGGCAAATTGCTGGAACTTCCCGTACCGTAATTAAAAATCTTGGTACAAAACCCCAAAAAAAATACACAAAATGTGTACATATTATTAAAATCTCTATAAAATATCTGATAATTGGATGTACACATGTCCAATAAACATTTTTGACCGCCAAATTACTTTTTTTTTATCAATTTTCATTGAGAGTCCATAACCGTGGACCTGCCTTTCTAAAAATTTAATCAGTTCTTCATCTTGTCAATACAAGTAAAATGTTCTTTGAATTATTAAAATCGGACGCTCCGTTCTCTTAAAAACCAAGTTAAATGGCTAGACCTGCCTTCGCCAAAAACTAATCAGCACGTCTCCTTATCAATACAAATCTAATGTTTTTTGAATTATTCAAATCGGTTGATCGGTGTTCCCGAAATCGTCGACGAAAATTTGTATTTGCACACACATACACACACACATACATGCATACATTTTTTATAAGGTATGCCAAAATATTCAAAAACCTCTGAAACGTAAAGATACATAAAAATTTCCATTTTCGATTTTTTTGTGATTTCTATAACTTATATTACGGGAAGTTAAAAAATTGAATAAGCGATTAATGCAAATATCCCATTTTCTAGGCTACATCATGCATCAGTATTGTATATTTGAAATACCTGTAATAACAGTTTGTGCCCAAGGAGCCATTATTTCAGACCAAGAATCCTTATCAAAGAATCCACTCTCCCATTCTCCTGGTTTGGTAGGATTTTCTCTGCCCGCTAACATCCATCGAGGATCATATGGAGCTTTGGTAGGAATATAGCCAACATCTCTGTCAATAGGATCACTGGGAATGACGATAGGCAAAGTTCCTCCCCTCTTGTCAGGCATATAGCTCAACCAGCTCAAAATTCTATAAACACCATCTAGATCTAATGCTTCAGTATTGTGTGAAACTCCATTATTGTGCATGATTTGGATACCCCCCAATTGATTGTTTGATGCATATACTTCTCGACCCAGGAGCTTGTTAAGTGCTGAATAACCTGATAGAATATATATGAATTAGATGTTTATTTAGGTATCTTAAAATATCAATTTTTTTTGCAAGAACACATTTTTGATAAACAATAAAAAGATCACATCTAATACTTAAACATCATAATATTACTATTATTAAAATATCATACCAGTCAGAATAATATGAGAATTTTCAATCTGTATGACTCTTTGTCCAAGACGAACAACATAAGAACCAATTCCAATTGCTCTGCAAGTTACCATGGATATTGTGATAATCTCTTCATAAGCAGCTGATGTTTCACCAGCAATCATACCAGCATATCTCAAATTTTCCACACCTAGGCCATCAGTTTTACCAATTATATCTGTTATTTTATACCTATAACCAATGTTTTCAAAATTAATCTAATGAATATTACAAACTGCTTAGATTTATTCCAAGACAAATATCCTACGAGGTTTCTCACCTTGGTTCTCCATCATCCTCAATCAAGATAGCTCTTACAGAATTAAATGGACTTAATTTACTATAATCTTCTGGTGTCAAATATAAATATTTAAATCCTTTATCTGGTTCATCAACATCTTCCCATGCTACCTTGAACAAACTCTTCACTTCTTCTGCTAATCCTATTCTAGCACCACTGTTTGCAGAGATATAAATTCTTGGAATTTTTAGTTTTCGCGCTAGTTCTGAAGCTTTTCCGTAAACAATATCTTCCTTAGGACCAAATGAACCAATCAAATAAGTTATGTCATTAGAAATAAGAATCATCTCACGTCCTTTGGGAAACTCTGGTGTACATAATTTTATTCTCCAAGCAACCATACCACAATCGTTTTCACCAGGAAGACGTTTTTGTTCTACAAGTTTATCTCCTGAAACCACCAATTCCACACATTCTTCTAATATTTTATCAGGTATAACAACATCTTCGTGGGGTCGTGCTCTTGAGTATTCTTTCCAAAGACGCTCTGTCATTTGACGGAACATGTCAGGAATATCGTAAACATAAGTAGTTCCATTTGATTGAGCTTGGAAACGTTTTTGTTGAAGGTAATCTTTGGTAAGATATGGTGTGTAAATAGGTAGGCCATGTAGAGATCCAAGTCGGCCACCATAGCCCATAAATTTGATAATACCTAAATAAAAATTAAAGTCAACTATAAGGTCATTGCTTTCTGGATAATTAAACATATAATATATTCAGAATATATAAATTTTATAATAGAATATTTAGATAGTTAATATTGTAATGCTGATAAATATAAAAACAAACCTGTTTCTGGATCTGTTACTTCAGTATACATTGAGATATCTAAGAAGTAACCACTGTCATTTGCCAGACAGAGTCTTATAGAAGTTGTGGGGGCAGATGGATTCGCCCTTATAAACATTTTTAATTCTGCTTGTAAAACTCTCAATTTCCATAAACGTGGGCCATACCGCATGACCTTAAAAAAAACATAAAATAAGTTCTAGTAGATTTTCTAATTGATAATCTATTTTTTAATTAATAATGCATATTACCCACCATTTTAGTAACAGACTCTTCTATTTTTGCAGGATCCATAATAACAGTTGGTACAAAATTTAAGAATATATGATTGCAATCGGTTCTCCTGGCTTGAGGATGTGAAAAAGCAACTTCCAACTCGTCCATCGCTTCTAGTAACACACGTTCCCCTTCATTTTGTAAATATTCGAATGAGGCTTCCTAGAAAAATTGTTATTGCAATTGCCATAAATTAGAAAACACAATTTTATATAATTCTCATTTGCAAATTACCTTTGTAATCAAATCTGAATGCCGTATAATTGATCTGATAAAGAATCTATAATCAGTGACTTCTTGTCCTGGAGGAGCTTTGGCTTTCCCAAGATACAAATGCATCTTTTGGTTGGCAGTCGGCAGTGCTTCCAAGTCATAGGAACGCATACGGTTTAATTCTAATTGGAAGGCGCAAGCTGGTTCTAAATGTCGGTAGATTCTATCTTCTTGGAAGTCATCGCGATGACGATAAGTAAAGAACTTTGGAAACTGGCGTCTGAAAATAAATACGTTAGGAAAAGATTCTAAATTTTCATTAATTAACTTCTTACCGTTTGAGAGCAGCAAATGTTATTCTTCGTACTTTTCGTTCCTCTAACTCTTCTTTGTGCTTTTCACAGAACTCGGCAAATAATCGAGACATTTGCATATCGTCTAAATCTCCTACGTCCCGCAAAGCAACACTCAATATATGCATTGGTTCCTTAGGCTAAAACATAAATATTAATTACAGTGCAAGCCGACTAATAAGTAATCTGCATACGAATGTTTCGAGCCATGTTAGTGTTTTGAGATACGAGCCGCCAAATAACCGGTTCTTTGCTTCGACATACAAGCAAAATTCGAAATACCGGATTTTGAGTTGATAAAGGATTAAACTCGAGCTAAGGGCTTTATAATAATTTATAAGCAGCTTTCTGAACTTTAAGAGTTTGTAAATAAAAATCACCTCCAAAAAGTTGCATCAGTTCGAGTATGGGAGTTGTTCAATGAAACATGTCACAACTCATTTCTGCAATATAATTAATTAATGGGTAGAAAAAAACAATAATTACATTACAAAAAATAAATTTATTTTTATTGTTTAAAAACTTAACAAAAATCACAGTGCTTGAACGAATTAATGGCATTTCAATGTATTTATATAAGTAAAATTACTTCGAGATATGGGCGTAGAAAAGATTAAACTCGTATGCCGGGGTACCACCACTGTAGTTGCAAGTGGCATTTTATATTAAGGTAAATTGCACGAACTTCCCGCTACGTAAAAATATAATCAATTTATAATCAGTAAAAATTGAGATACAGCTATTAAAAAAAAAGTTGAACTGTTGAAAATAAAATTTTTGTTTTCACTAAAAATAATAAAATTTATAATTGATATCACTCAAACATACCCATAATATCTGTAATTATTTAAATTAAATTGATTTATTTAACCCATTTCATTTCATTCTGCTTCATGTTCTAAAAATGTATTTTATTAAAGTGTGAACTTTAACAGTAGCTTACAGAACATTGAAGGAATGGCGTAGATTCTAATTAGAATCTCTGAAGCGCGCGGTAAATATTCCAAACTTTCATGAATTATTATAGCTCTACCGCTTGCTTATCGTAAGCCTCTTATATTTTCGTCGTACAAAGTTTCGTCAAAACCGTCAAAATTTTTTTTTCAACAATTAATTACGAAAAAACGCCCCGCCGTGGGTAAACTGATGCAAAAGGTTATAAAGTTTTCAAAATCGGTTAAGAATTCTTCATTGGCAAAAAATTTTGCACTTTTATATTATTTTAAATATTAACTAAATACCTCTGGTAAATCAGAAGCCGGCCTTGTTGTTGGTTCGGATAAACTAACATTAATAGATGTTGAATTTCTATCTTCTGAAACGCTATCCACAGCCTCCATTACCTATTAAATAAAAAATTTATATCAAATTTATCTAATTTCTAGACATGAACTGAATTAATTTCGTTCAAATACTGTTGCAAAAAGTTAATAAAACACTTGTTTTACTAATTAATAAAATCAATTCATTATTTATCAAACCTTTGCGTTAATGTATGCAGGGCTTGAGAAATCTTCTAGCAAATCCAAAATTTCATCAGCATATTGTTCAAAATGAGCAAAAGAATCAAATGCTGCCATACACCCAGTTCGTTGAAAGTCATATGCTGACACAGCTTGATTTGTTTCCATATTTCCATCAACAGGCAATCTAGAAAAAAATCATATAAATAAAAATAAAAATAAAAATATAAATTTAAGTGTAAGTCTATACAAGAATCAAATTACCTATTAGGATGTGCAGAAGGTAGTAAAAATTGGAAATGAACTAATGGGACTTCTCCACTGAGTTCAAGATGCTGTAAACACGTCAATTCATAGCTAATATACGCTCTCCTAACATAAACTTCTAATGCAGCATTACAAACGGCCCTATTTGTATGATAGAAGAAATCATGCAATATATCAAAAATTGAAGTTTCACTGAGTATTAGTTTCTGAAGATTTTCAGGGTGGAAATCGTGCCCATACATGTCGACTGCAGAAAGGAAAATCGACTCCATTTGATTGTGCCGGAGCTCATATGCAGGTTGATGCGCTGCAATCAGTACCTGAAAAAGGTGTAAATGTTTTATTTCAATTGTGCTATTTTTGATATTTTCTTATTGTAAATTAGTGTATATGTAGAAGCACCACTTTACATGCATATTATATTGATGGGTCTACAAAATTATTAACCTACAAAATTATTATTTTGTTTTAATAAAAACAAAATACAAATTTTAAAAAATAGATATCCCTATACCTTTTAAAAACAAAAGCTGATCAACTCATATATAAGTTGAGTTTATATATAGACCTTATAATACATTACATATGTATCATAAGGTCCTTAAATCAAATACATCTTATATATAAAAATGGATCGCAAAATGTGTTGGTAAGCGCATAACTCAACGCCTGGACCAATTTGGCCAATTCTTCTTTTAAAATGTTCGTTGAAGTCCAAGGATGGTTGTTACGGCGAGAAAAAATCGAATAATTGCCGGGAAAACCCTAAAAACAGCCCTTTTCTTCTTTAATCGAGTAGGCAATGCAATTTGTAAACAATGATCTATGTCATGACATTTTGTGTAGTTTTTGATAATCTAATTTTGAATATATTTATATAAACATAGAAATATCTTTCTATTAATCAAGCTATATTGGCAGCCAAAAACATTGATGTAAATTAATTAAATTTCAAAATTCAAGAACAAATTACAGGCGAAACAGTTGATTCGGCAACTAACCAAGACGATCCACCGGAGTTTTTAAACTCGCTGGATTTGCTAGGATTGTCACCTCACAATCTTCAATTAAAGGTTGGATCGGCAATTATAATGTTGCGAAATATCGACCGACTATATTCAAAGGATAGAATAAAGCAGAAGATGTTCTCGCACCATGCATCCCAATGCGTTTCCAGTGCGTTTATGGTATCATTAAGTGTTTGTGGTATTAATTTAGAAAACCCATGTTTCTCACATGGAAAATTGTATGTTGTTTGTTTCCGTATTGGAAAACCATCAGATTTGTTTGTCTATGCGCCAGGTAATCAAACAAAAAACATCGTTTATCACAAAGCACTACAATGAAAATTGAACTGATTTTTGAATTATGATTTGTAATATTAAAATTACTTACTTTTAAATGCTTATAGTGTTTTATTTAATTATTTTTAATTCACACCGAATTATTACCAGGGTGACGGTTCTGTTCAGGATAATTTTTTGCAAAGAATAGAAAAAAGATAAGCACAAAACACCGCCACATTACAATTTTTTTTGACAGGACGAAGTCTGTCGGGCCGGCTAGTTCATTTTAAAAATAACCATTCCAAAATAGTATTAATATTGAATTAAATTAAATCATAATAATTAAATATATAATATCATATCATATCATATCATAAATTAAATTTTTAAATACATCACTAATAATTATGAAAATAACACTATTTTCCATATATATATATATATATATATATATATATATATATATATATATATATATATATATATATATATATATATAACATGGTTGGTTCATATAGTTGAATAGAAACAAAATAAATACAGACCTGTCTAGCTCTCAAAGCTACTCTGGAATGTTCAGCCCTATTCAGAGATGTGAGTTCGCTCAGAGTAGTAGCTAGTTCATCAGTCAATCCCGGTTCATTAGACCATAAATGATCAATAAGTAATGTTACCTATTCAAAATAAATTTATTTAAAATTTCTTCTATTGGTATTATTAATTTTCTTTATTCAACTTACTAATAAATTTTTCTTAGCAACTTGTCCATGTGAGAAAATAGTTGCTGTAACAGCTGCCATATCATCTTTATTTCTATCACGAATAGCCATTACGCATTTATCATAATGACCTGCAGAAAACATAAAAAATAATTTGAACTAAATTATCTTGTTATCTAATTTATCATACCAATATAACAAAATTTCAATCTTTTGGAAGATATTTCATTTAGAATAATAATATGTAATTAAAAACATTTAAAATATATATTTTTTACAAACCATGTTGGAATTGACTCTCCACAGCATAATATTGTTTCAGAAGTTCATGCACAGCAGCCTTCATTCGACCTCTGATACCTAACAAAATATAACAAGTTTTGAACAAATTTTCATTTTAATTATTCACAAGAGCCAAAAATGAAAGAGCTTACCATTTCTATACCTTTGTACTAATTGCACAATTCCTTGTGTGGTTAGGAAAAATACATCTCTTTCAGCACGTTTTTGCAAAGTCGCTGCATGACTATAAGAAGGAAAAACAATTACATTAAAAATCAATTCAAAATTGAACAATTTAAAATATTATATATTTAATAAAACATTCTTGTCACCTATCAATTACGCTGGCGATTTGCTGACTAGGAAATTGCGCCAGAACACTAGTAATATTTCGTTCATATAAACTCATCAATTTTCTGATCTTTTTCTCAACTGAGAGTGGTATTCTTCCGGAAATTGTGGCTATTACTTCTTGCAATTCCAACAATGGCAGACTGGGATCACGCAAACTTTGCATAAACTTTTCAATAACCTCCCTTAATCTAGGAGCATTGTAAGGATCAGGCAAGCAATAACCTTTGTGAAAAACGCACAAATATTATTATGGTAAATAATTATTCAAAATAAAATATCTTATAAAATATATTAAAAATAATTAATCTCACCTGCGAGAGTATTTTCCAATATTGCTTTATATCCGCTGTGAATCCTATGCAATTTTTCCGGAGCGTTGTTTCCGTCTGTTTCTGGAAACGGTCCTCTATAAGGCTGAGCTTTGGTAACCAAACTGGGATCATCTAGTTCCAAATGTGCAATTAACGAACCAGCGTCAAGAACTGCACCTGGACGTTTGGCAAAAACTACACTTCCTGCTTCTGAAGCCGTTAAGGTCATTACCATTTTCATAACCTAAACATATCAATTTCTTTCTTAGAAATATAAGGCTAATTATTTTAATATTAATTTCCCTTAGAACAATAAAATAGGCAAACCTCAATTTCAGCATATGGTTGGCCCTTATTGACGTGGCCGCCGTCTTCACAAAGCAAATTGATTAACTTTCCAGCGCTAGGACTTCTCAACATTGAAGGATCATTTTCCTTTTCAAAAATACATGTTTGATTTCCGATAACGATACGGTACCTATCAACTTCTTCTTTCATATATGTCGTGAAACTTGCCCCGTCAATTGACAATAGCATACCTAGCAACAATAACAAAAATACAAATAAAATAAATTTGAAGTAAGAATAAATATTTATAAATAGCATTCAATAAACAAACCTCCATCATTTAATCGATGAACTTCGATTTCTTTGAATGAACCGTTCATAACGAGAAAATATGAATTTGGGCCACACTTGGCTACTTGTAATTTATATTTGTAACCTTCTGAAATTAATTCAACTTCCACTATATGTTTTAATGTATTCGAGCCTTGCACTTGGCCTCTGAAAATTAATAAAATCTAATATAAACCAAAAAAAAAAATAACTGCTGTTATATAAGTAGTGTTAGAAAAAATAGTATATACCTTTCTAATGAAGTTTGAAAGTTCATAAATGACTCAGCTATTGTTCTTTCCCCAATATGCAGTGCTCCACAAATAACTCCCAAAAGAATATCAGGTTTCTCAGATTGAACCTGTAAATAAATTATTAAAAGATTATTATAAAAATGAAAATCCTATCGAGTGGATAAAATCTTTAGTTTACTTACTCTTTCAGCAATTAAAGCATCTAACCAAGCGGTATCTATACTATTATCAACAAAACTCTTTGCCTCCAATAATGTAATTAAATATTCAACTGTTGTGCGAAAATCACCCCTGATTGACAATTCTTTTAAAGCTATAACCAAATTTCTAAAACAAAAGGAAGTCAGATTTTAAAGAAATGATTTATGCGTTGAAGACATTGTCTAGATTAAAAATCACTCACTCTCTAGCCTGATTTCTATTTTCACCCCATGAGAAACAATGACCAAACTGTGAATCGGCAAATTCATGAAGTCCACCAGATGCAGCTACAGAGAAATAACCCCATACATTTTTGCTGGAACGGAAATTTAGTTCTTGCACTGTTCCTGAACTGGGCTTGAAACCTTAGAAAAGTAAATATACATTTTGAATATATGTGGAATACATACATATAGAACGAGTGATGCATGGCATTGCGTCTCAATGCAAATTGCTGAAACTTTCGTAATTTAAGGTTTTTAAAAGCTTTATAATTTTTCAGAAAATTTTAATAAAATGTAGTGTAATTTAAATAACTGTGTTAGAGATAAAATAAAGTACGCGAAATCGCCACGTCGCAGTGTAAGGATTAAACATTATTAACCTTGGTACAGAACCCAGAAATGTAAACAAAATTGTACTTACTATTAAAATTTATAAAATATCTGATAATTTAATGTAAAAAAGTCTAATGATCATTTTTGACCTCCCACTGGCGTTTTTTTGAACACTTTTTATCGGATCTTTGAAACTATTTGTTATTTCAATTTGCAGAATTCTAAAATCTCTAATTTACCTTCATCAGGATTTTCAGATGTGATTCTAGCAGCAATAACGTGGCCCCAAGGACGCGGTTTATTTCTAGGATTTTCAAAATCTATAACACTAGTACCCCAAGGCGATTCACCATAAAGTAAACGAATATCTTTTATCCTATGCATTGGTATACCCATTCCAATCTGTAATCGATTATAATATCTTAGTATACAATATTATAAATTTACTTAAAAACAATACAAATTAGTAGTTATTAAAATATTTGTAAGCTATAGAATAAAAAATAGGTAGATTATAAATACCTGTAATTGAGCGGCAGGTAAATTTACATCAGCAACCATTTCCGTACATGGATGTTCTACTTGAAGACGCGGATTCAACTCCAAGAAGTAATAATTCCCAGTGATGTCATACAAGTATTCAACAGTTCCAGCACTTACATATCCCACCATTTTGGCTAGACGTACTGCAGCCTAGTAAGTTCAATTAATTATTATGCCATTTTAAAAATTAAAGAAAGTTTTGCTTTATAAATGTTTAACAAGTTAAAAAACACATTTATAAACAAAACTGAAAACTTTTTCTTACTTTCTCCATTTCTTCAAAGACCTCAGGCTTTGCGACAACGGCAGGAGCTTCTTCAATGATCTTTTGATGTCTTCTCTGGATGGAACAATCTCTTCCAAATAAAGATATGGCATTTCCGTATTGATCAGCTAACAACTGTACTTCTAAATGACGAGCTCCGCTAGCCAATTTCATTATAAATATTGGCGAACCCGGAACTTCAGCTTGTACCTAAGCAATAAATATATTGTTCACGTTTTAAATTCAATTCATCTTTAACCATATATGAAAATCAAACCTGTCTAAATAGGGCTGGAAAATCATCTGGCCCATCAACTTTACGGATACCTTTACCACCACCGCCTTCAGAAGCTTTTATCATAACAGGAAAACCTGATGAAAAATGATTAATGGATTTAAATACATTTATTTAAGTTTAGAATGAAGATAACATTTTTGCAAAATTTACCGATTTTGATGGCTGCTTTCAAACCTTGTTCCGCATTATTAACACAACCTTTGGCAAACAATTCACTAGAAATTTTAATTTTCTTCCCGCTGTACTGCGCCTTCAAACCTAAGGTAATTGATCCAAATATTGAATAATTATAATTATAAAGAAATGAATATATTTTTATCAAATGTGCAATTATATTTATTTGAAACTATCATAAATATCCATACAGATATATACGTAACAAAGTATCTACCTATTGATAACCAATATTTATATATTTATTACTAAATATCGACAACCTCAAATAATGTGATTTTTATACAATACTTACTATTCAATAATGTGAAATTAGTTCATAAGAACTATAGTAAATAAATTAGTCAACCTACCAGAGCCGGACCAGGGCAAAGTAGGAACTTCTGCGGTTTGGGCAACGATACTGGACGCGACTTTGTCACCGAGCGCCCACATAGCGCGTTCTGAAGGTCCTAAAAACACTAATCCTTGTTTATGTAATAATTCAGGCAATTTAGGATTTTCAGAAGCATGACCCCATCCAGCCCACACGGCCTGATAATGAAAATTAAAATTAGAACAGAACAGAACCGTGATCACAGTACATCATTTAATAAAATATATATATTATATTATATTATATTATTAATATATATATATATATATATATATATATATATATATTATAAATCAAATTATAATTGAAGTCAAAAATAGAAAATGAATTAGATACCTGCACTTGAGTCCTTATAGCAATATCTAAAATTAATTCTACATTTGCGTAATTGTTATTATTTGAGCCTCCAGGTACAGGAACATAATGATCGGCCATTTTTATGTATTCTGCATTTGCTTTCAAATCTTCAGGCGTAACCTAAAGATGGTATTAATATAAACCATTGATATATAAATAAAATAAAAAATATTTGAAATTGATATAGTTATTTTTAAAGGTTTATAAAGTTCCTCTTAATCTGTTGCGCTACAGTTAAATTAAAATATACTGATAATGTTTTCCTCGATTCAAAAATGAACATATAAATACAACATTTTTAAATTATTTTTAATTTATTTTTGCATTGACGTATCAAAAATTATTAGTAATAAAAATGTGAATATATTACCATAACAACAAATCTGATGGATCTTTCATTTTTGAACATTTCATAGGACCACCTTCGGACAGATCTCATACATTTTACAGCACCGATACCATTGTTAGCAATTAAAATCTAAAAATAAAATGAATTATGAGAATCATATAATACATATTATTTTTATTTATTATTGGGGAACTATCTAAATAATAATTTAATTTTTTGTGATCAAATTTTTAACTGAAACTGCCGTTTACGCTGTACTTAGATGGCAAACCTACCTATATTTGATAGAGTTTCATTATTAGAATTTATCTGATAGATTTAATGTATTATTTAATACCCTAGACGAGCTAATTTATATTTAAAATTTACATTTCTTATAAAAAACTATTAATATAGTCAATCCTTCTCGTACCCACCTCAGCCCAGTACCGAGGCATACACATGGGGTCCAGCAGACCCCATCGGTGTTTAAACCCTCGCCGTGGGTTTAAACACCGATTAAACATTATAATAAAACTATTGGCTCGATTAATAAAAAAGAAAAAAAAAAAGGAATTTGAACTATCTATAATGCGACAACAAACATTTTTAAATGTAAACAGAAATTTAAAGGTCTAAAAAATGCTCGGAAACGAGCGACCTAGTAAAAAATAGTCTATTTAAAAAAAAAATCGTAACAGAAATTTTAACGATAACTAAGTTTTTCTTTCGCAAAAATAATACCCAATTATAGTATTTAAAAAAAAATAGATTCATATTGGATGCTTAAAATAAAGATATTTATCTAAGAATTTCAGATTTGACTCTAAAGATGGCGTTGGGGTCCAGACCCCAGATGTACGAGAAATGTTAGGATCTATATATTCAAGTGAAAATGTGTATCACTACTGCATGCTACCAAGTTGTTCGTAACGGGGATAGATCTCGGGGCTATATAATTATAAAGCAATTAATTCAATTTAAATTTACATTTCATAACAAAATAGGTAAAATATTGTAAACTTTAATCAAATTTATATTTAATATAATACAACAAATAAATAAATATTTAACAACTACCCTTATAAAACATACCTTGTTTATAACCTTCGTTCCACCGAATCGTTTAACAAATTCTTCGGGGGTGGCAACAGCAAAATCGCGTTCGAGCAATGGGTCGATTCCCAACCCAGTGCCATGAGACATACTAGGCCTGCAATATATTATTTTTAGTAATACTAATTTAAATAATTAAATTGAATTTATATTAATTATATAATACTAATTAATTTATATTAATTATATAATAATACTAACTTAATTAACTTTAGTATATATACACAAACACAAAATATATTCAAAATTTTGAATATAATTTGATCAAACAAATATTGAATTGACGACCATCAAGTTATATTCATCGTCAGCATACCGTAGTTTTAGAACAATTGCTATAATGCATGGCATATAAGTTGAACAACAACAGGTTCACTATAAAATGAATAAATCATTTAATTTTACAATATGTACAATTCTTACATAATTTAAATGAATTAATATTTTTTAAGAAATGATATAATCGTCAAATTTTTCGCTGTACATGTGATAATTCGAAAACACTCATCGCTATGTGAAATATAAACACAGACTAAACTAGTAATACTCATAATGTAGTACTAATAAATCTTTTGAATAAATTGAATTGTATCTGCAAAATTCAGTTTTTTTTTATTTCCAATATGTGTAATAATATTCAAAATATTGTGCGCAAATTGTTGATTCAAGTTCAATCAATGATATAACAGAACGAGTATTTGCAAGTATTTAACAAATGAAAAAATATTTAAGACGTCTTAAAACGTTTCACATGCAGTAAAAACTTGCAAAATAGTTTTAAAGCATACTTTAATTTATAAATTTTAATTTTTTAGAAATAGTCACACTTGTACATGATCAAATCATAACACCCTCAAATGCATTCAGCAGATGATACAAATAGGTATTACCTTTGTACAATTTATTATAAATCATTTCATATATGTTTCTAGTCTCCGCATAGTAAAGACAAAAAACACATTCATTAATCTTATTATTAAACGTATTATTACTACCTTATTGTCCAAATACTTTTGCGAATATTATTAGTTTTACTAATGGCCAAAGTGCTTTTAGGAAACATGTTTACATTTGCGGAATACACAACTAACTGAACATTTAACTCTTAGATTAGGATTGACAACATAGCGGCATTTTACAATTTTGACAAGAGTTATGAAGTATGAAGATATATACAAAATATAATTGTCAAACGTAGTAGACCCGTGGTTTCCAACCTGTGGGGCGCGCCCTAAAAGGGGCGCAAGGCTGTTACAGCGGAGCCATATGGCTGCTTACAATATTCTATTTTCGAAAATCAACCCAAAATTTTGAAGCGATATAAAAAAATAAACGAATACATTTTTATTTATTTTTGTATTAAATTTTAGAATTATATATTATACTATATAATTATATTTTAACATAATATTGCATATTAATTTGTAGTCTGAATTAAATTATATTATCACTTGAGTATTTATGAAATTAAGTTGTTTAAAAAAATTGAGGAGTGCGCAACATTTTTTTAAAGAAGGGGGGAGATGCTACAAACAGATTGGGAGCCACTGTAGTAACCAAAATATATTTCGATCATAATATATAGATAAAGTACCGTCATCAGGTTTTTCAGCAATATTGAGCTATAAATCAATATTACTTATTTTTTATCAAAAGCACTTGCAAAAAGAATTATTGAAAAATATTTGAAAATTTTTACTTAAATTTTTTAATGGTTGTAGTGTTCAACACAATTGTACAATTACGAAACGTCATAATTAAACATCTACAAAAGAACTAATTGTTTTTTTATTTATTAGATTCATCCATTCAAGAACCAGCCCAATATATATATGTCGTCTTGTAGAATAATCATCGCTGGTTTTTTCGAGTTTCACCGAATGACTTAAATTTTTGCAATTGGTTCAGCCGGTTTTTGAGAAAACATCGAAAGAATACACACACGCCTATTTCTTCCAAATTTGGTCTTAAACGATTCAGAATGACTTCAAACGTCAAGAGAAAATAAAATTAGCAAGATGGTTTTGCTGATAAAAATAAACTTCTCCATCGAGAAGTTAAAAACTGTTTTTCAGGATGAACCTAGATTTATGTAAATGCTTAATTTTTCATTGCAAAATTTAATAACATATATATGTAGAGTTATCGATATATAATAAAAAGCATATCTTAATATAAATAAAAATAATAAAAATTGTCATTTATAAAAATATAAAATAATTTTTATCTCTTTCCTATTTCTTGCATTTATGTAAAATAAATATATTTATTAACATTTCGTCACTAGTAAAATCTTATTTTATTTATACAAATAATATAAAATATTTATTATAAAATTCGCAATAAAATTGGTAAAATGATTACAAAAATAGAAACTTTCATAAAAATATGCCATTTCGTGTAAAGTGTCATATAGATCAATATTAAAAAAAATCTCATTATCTTATATCATTTTATTATTTTTATAAATAATAATTAATAGGCTTAAACAAGAAGATGAAAATTCCGTTAATCGTGTTGTAAATCTTACTGTAATGTATTAAAGAATAATGAAATAATATACGAAAAATATTTATTTAAAAAGAATAATAGCAAGTGCTCTAGTTCAATAATTAGTTGTATGTATTGTATATATATTAACTCTTTCCACTCGGCACCGATTAGTACGTTATCTATCAACAATTCGGCGCCGCATTCTGACAAAAACGTACCTGTAAACTTGATATTATTGTGTATACTATGCAATTTCGTTATATGAATTTACGGACATTGAAGAACATACATTCGCAGTAATATGGAAATTTATTTTCAGCAGTATATTATAATTTTAAAGTAATTTCCAAAAGATATCGGGTTGATTCCAGTGTCCTTATAATTAATTAGCGACGTAACAGTTTTTTTAATCATTCCACAGAAAAGTGTAATAATCGTTTTTATATTTTCATATTTCTACCTTTTTTGAAGAAAAATTTGCTTCTCGGTCGTTTTACTGTATTTGAAAAAAATATTATATAATAAAAGAGCTTAAAAATATTTAGAAAATAACCAATAGTAAATTTTGAAAAAAAAAAATACTGTCTTATCACTGCATAGATCTATTCTTTGTAAGAGTAAGCAACCTTTTTAACTCACAGGCTGAATTTGATTTTTAAATTTTGTTAGGGGGCTGCACTTATTACTTACAAAGCTTGATAAAAAGTAATAAACATTATAATATATAAATACTAAATTAAAAACAGTAAATATTTCAAAAATTAATGCAACAACAAAAATTGGATAATACATTATGTATAATTTATTGATGGAAGAAAGTTAATGAAATAAATAAAATTCTATTTTAAAAATGTTTGACGGGCCGCCGAAAAATATTTAAAGAACCGCATAAAGCCCGCGTGCCGCAGGTTACTCATCCTTTATCTAAAGAATTCGACGCTTCAATACGAACTGAGTCATTGTGCATACAAACTGTTGCGTGCCTCATTATCAGAGAAGAGACGAGCCGAGTCGAGTGATAAGCTAGACTTACGTTGTCCCCTCAGGGGGACAACCGAGTTGAAAGGGTCAATATTTCAAAACATCATATAATTAAATAAAATTAAATAAAAATAAAAAGATTATTACTTAATATTGTTCGATGCATTGGCGGTCAAATTCGCAGTTGCAGTCGCAGTCGTGGTCGCATCTTGAGTAACAGTTTTCGGGTCCGTGCTTTTCTCATTTCCCCAAGTTGGTTCTTCTCCACTTTCAGATAATACAAAACGCTTACTAGCTCTCCTTTTCAACATTTTGTACTTGGGTCTTGGATAAGTGTATTCGTATGTAAATTTGATGGATGTATCACTTTTATCTCCCAAAGGATTATATCTATCTAATATATCACGATATGTATTTTTTGAAGATACAGATTCTGCACCTTCTTTGTTTATATCATCACCTGTTGAATAATTTGGATTGACTTGGGTATTAACATCAGAAGATGATGAAAGATCTTGATTCGTTAATTGATCCACTTTTGAAGAATTGATTTCTCCTGGTTGATAATCTATCGTCTTACAAAGTTCTTCTTTTGATTCGCTTGCAGTTACGGTTTTAACAGAATTATTTGCAGAAATTTCAAGCTCGTGAGTCGTTTTATCTATTTCTGATTTACTTTGGAAATAATAATTTGAAGAGTCTTCAGAAAATGGTGTATTTTGATATGAGCGCGACTTCGAAGTATTATCAGTTGCATTCGCAATTTGAGTGTCAGTGTTTTCCAATAAAAAGTTACTTCGCTGAATTTCTTTCTCAATTATATTGTCATTTCGTATTATATCTTGATTATCTGATATGTTCGCATTTAATTTATTTGTATTTTCTATATTCTCCAATACGTTTATCGGCCTCTCTACTTCCACAACTTTATCATCAGACTTTATTTGTTTACTTGATTCGTCTGGTAACTTTTCTGGAAGATTTGCCTCTAATTCGTCCTCATCGCATTGATGCATGTATTTTGATGGTCGTTCGTTTTTATTGAAATTTCTAGATTGTTTATTTCCTGACAGTTCAGAATAATTGCCTTCGACTTCTTTGGGGTTTTTCCCAATGTCACTAGAAGAACTACTGTACGAAATAAATTCTAAGCTTTGCGTTTTATTCGCAAATAGCAATGTATCGTCTTCAAGTGTATTTACAATATTAATTTTATTCGTTTCACATGTATCATTCAAGCAAATGTCTGTGAACGTTTCTTTACTTTTAACGGGTATTACTGTAAATCTGCTTATATGTACCACGTTATTATCTTCATCTATGAATCGGCTATTGAAAATACTATCACTTATTGGTTCTGGATCCAAATTCGAATCTAATTTAATTTCCTTAGCTATGACAAGGTCTCTAACTGGCTCTATAAAGAATTTCTTGTATTGACCCCGAACTATATTTATTTGTTCGTCCACTTGAATATTTTCAGTTTCTTTCGTCTCGTTTTCCTTAAATGCAACTTCAGATTTTTCGTTAGATCTTTCTTGATCATCAATAGTAGTATTGGCATCAGTATCAGACGGTGTCACGGTTTGAGAACCGCACGCTGTCGATCGCACCAATTTTGAG